TCCCCACCAGGGTTGCTCCCTCCCCACCAGGGCTGCTCCCTCCCCACCAGGGCTGCTCCCTCCCCACCAGGGCTGCTCCCTCCCCACCAGGGCTGCTCCCTCCCCACCAGGGCTGCTCCCTCCCCACCAAGGCTGCTCCCACCCCACCAAGGCTGCTCCCACCCCACCAAGGCTGCTCCCTCCTCACCAGGGCTGCTCCCTCCCCACCAGGGCTGCTCCCACCCCACCAGGGCTGCTCCCTCCCCACCAGGGCTGCTCCCTCCCCACCAGGGCTAGCAGACACAGCTCCTGGCCCAGCTGGCACAGGACAGGCAGGATCCTGAGCTCAGAGAGGAGGGAGGGCAAAAATCAGCTCTCCCCCACAGGACTTTGAAGGCAGAGGCCCAGACTGCCAGCTAAAGTGCTGACAAAGCACCAGCAGCTCTTGATACTGTGCAGCCTTTCCTTCTCTGACACCCAGTGGCCCTCAGAGTAACCAGGGAGAGTACAAGTGAGGGCTAGAGCTGACAACATTACACGTGGCTGTTCTGTCCTGCTAGAGCCCAGTTCTGGCTGGCCACAAGAGCAGAAGATACTGGTGGCAGGCAGGGAGCACATGGATGTATCAGGTAAGACTAAGAGGGCTGAGCTCTGGCATCTCCCTTGGGTGCAGTGTTAGGTGCTACCCACCTGCTGGCTGGCCTTGCTGCTGATCTCCCAGCTGCCAAGCAGCCTGGGCACCCCTGGTTCCAGGACATAGCTGGAGTTATCCCAACAAACACCAGTGCCTGGGAGAGCTCTGGGTGGAGCCTGGTGGCAGGACTGACAACATTCCCTGCCTCCACATCGAGTGGGGTACATACCACATCTCTGGAAGAAGGGTGTTCATTCCCTCCCAGCTGTAAACATTCAAGACAGCCAGCCAGAACTTCCCCCAGGAAGGGATTCCCACAGCACCTCCTGTAAAGAGCAATATCAGCTTTCAGGGTTAACACAACCAGGCCAGCTCCCTGTTTTATTCCCCATCAGAGGGTCCACTTCTCCCCACGTTTGGGACTATGCCACTCAGGCTGGGACACCTGTCCACCATCTGGCAGCCCCTTCATGTTCCAGGCAGCCCCAGGCTCCAGCCAGACCACAGTACCAGCCCCACAGTTGCTGTGCTGGGCACAGGGGAACCCACCTTTGCTGTGCAGGTTGACACGGGCCCGTACAACGTCAGGGTCGTCTGGTCCCAGCCCCAGGATCCTCAGGGCCACGTAGTTGAGTGCTGTGCCAAACACTGTTGATTTGTCTTCCACGTGCCTGTGACACACACACAGACAGCACAGCCACCAGGCTGCTGTCAGCACTGGCCAGACACAAGCCACTGCACGGGGCTGTCTTCTTCTGGGGGCAAAGTGGGAGGACCAAGGGTGACTGCAGAAAAGGGGAGACTCAACTAGCTGAGAGGGAAAGGCTGCTCTGCACTGCCCTGTCCCACAGGATCACAGAATCCCAGAATCCCAGGGGTTGGAAGGGACCTGGAAAGCTCCCCCAGCCCAACCCCCCTGCCAGAGCAGGGGCACCCAGAGCACATCACACAGGAACGTGCCCAGGGGGGTTGGAATGTCTCCAGAGAAGGAGACTCCACAGCCTCTCTGGGCAGCCTGGCCCAGGGCTCTGTCACCCTCACAGCAAACAAGTTCTTCCTGAGATTCACATGGAACCTCCTGGGCTCCAGTTTGCACCCACTGCCCCTTGTCCTGTCACTGCTCATCACTGATGCTTTGGGACGTGGCACCACGGAGGGGACGCAGCCAGACGTGATGTGGCAGAGGGTGCACCGGGGTAGGGGGGACACACACACCAGCCCCTCAGACATACCACAGAGCCCCCCCAGAAGGCCTGGGCAGCCCTGGCAGCAGGACCCATCCCTCAGGGGCTACTCACAAGCCCCAGCCCCCGTCGGGGAGCTGCACGGAGAGCAGGTACCGCACCATCTCCTTCCGGACTCCCTCGGGCAGCTGGATCCGGGCGGTGTGGCAGGTGATGAGGAGACCTGCACATCAGACAGGGGCTGGTGCTCAGCCAACAGACCCCCTCCTCCTCCCCCAGACCCAGGGCAGACCCTCCCATGAAACCTACCTGGCAGCAGGAAGAGGGGCCCTCCGTAATCCCCAGCCCAGTGCCCGTCCTCAGCCTGCAGCGCCGCGTAGAACCGCATCCCGTTGCGGGCAGCATCCACGGCCGCGC